GGACCTCGCATTATTTACCTGTTTCAGTGTGATTCTACTTCTCTATGTTATGCCAACTGTGTCGATGTCTGCCTGCTAATTTTCTGTGTGTACGCTATTGTAATAAGCAACGCTGTAGACGTTCCGTAACAACAGAGATCCCAGACCAGCGTAACACAGTCGTTAGTGTAAATGCACGTCTCCAACAAATGCCACACATGGGGAGATGGGAGCACATGTAGACGCAAGCACTCGCCGTGCCAGTTAATTGCTGCTGTTCCCATCAACAGTCTACTTCACTCACCAAAGCCAGGCGGGTGAGATTCGAGAGAGTTCGTTTGACGCAGTGCAATTCTGTCACTGCTTAAAATGAATTAACACACACACATCCTCTCACCCTGCTCCCGTCAACCTGCACAGAACACATAGGACAGTGTCCGATGTTAGGAGGGGCCCAACGGCTAGCATGGAAGCAGCAATTAGCTATTAATCGGCCTATGCGCGAGCTAGACAATCAATCGATAATTTGAATTTCTACCTACATTCACTCAATGAGCCAAACAGCCAATGGGACTGGCCGCTACCTCAGGAGAGGATCTTATTGGCTCAAGGAACATCGTTGACATACGTTTGTTTGTTGTACATAGAATACTAAAAGACTTCTGCCGTTGCACCCCTCTTGTCGTGTTCTCTCTTTGGGGACTCACACGGGACGTCATTGGGCGGCAATATCTCGGCCTGGGCATCCGTTATAACACCCGAAACAACTATGGAAATATACTTAGTGCCAGTCTATTGGTCCAATTGTGGATATTAGAACAAGATCGGTCCGTTCTTCGGCATTAGTGAGCACAACCGGTTTACTAGATGGACGAAATAGACAAGCAAGGTGGTCATATGGTAGGGTCCTCAAAAAAGTCTAAGTATTTGGCAAATTTATTTTGCTCTAAAATGTTCTTTTTTAAACTGCGAAGCTGCATCTACATGTCTTTCTGCGGTTCATGTCGAGGTTATTACCGATGATTAAGTTGGTTTGGCAGATTAAGTTAATTTAGTTGACCCAATTGTGAAAAAACTCGCGGCATCCCGCCGAATGTCGCGAGTTTTTTCACAATTGGGTCAACTAAATTATTACCAATGGTTTCAGCCCCATCATTAGCTTATTTTCGTCTACGCTCCAATAAAAGCTTCAACCATTTTACCGACGGGCTAATCACAGTCAATATTCCTAGCCTACTCCTCATGCGTGCCGTAGTTACTAACCACCGATGATCATTTTAGTTTCTATAGGGATTTCTCAATTAAGTTTCACCCATATAGTTTTGCTTCAAACCGCGAAGTATTTTTAAAGGTGAAGATGACTAAGATGGATCCCTTAGTACTACACGAAAACAGGAACAACCGCAACGTAAGTGGCTCTGCACGAAATGCAATGGAAACTAGTGTCAGGTTTGTGAATAATATTAAGGTTCCGTTTAGCAGTAGGTTTAAGATTAAGGTTAACATTAAGGTATGTATGTTAGGGGTAAGGTTCGTGTTAATGTTAAATATTAAGTAAGGGCCATTAGGTCGACTACGCTTTAAGTGCATGCGAAACCTAGTGGTAGGGCTATGCCACGGGAATGCTTGCCTTCTTGCAATTGTGCGCAAGGCCACGATTATTACGCGGGTAGCATTTTTCTTTTCCTGTCATGCTTTCGAGTTTAAGTTGGTATTGCGAATGCACGTCAGTTTTCAACTTAAGATAACTTCTTGAACTGCATCTTTCCACTTACACTTCCTCCCACCCAATGTTGTTATATCAAGGAAGTTGCCCAGGAGAGGTCTGGCTTTAAACGTACGCTATTTTGGATGATTTCAGGATGTTGCGGAGGAAGTCTGGACAAGGTACAAGAAGCGTAACGACTCCGTTATCATTGACTTATTTTACGGCATGCACAAACTGACGGTCGTCTGTCCTGTCTGCAACTACACATTCCGAGCCTTCGACCCTTTCGCCTCACTGAGCCTACCCCTCGACGTCGTCCCCACAAATGCCATTATATTTTGCTCCATTGGCAAGTTACAACGTGTAGGGTGTCGTATATACGTACCTCCTCGTTGTTCAGTCGAGAACCTACTGCCTTATTTTCACCGAGCCCGGCGACCAGGAGATTGCTGCAAGGTTTGCTATGGCACAATATTATATTCCGGTTTGTTTTTAAATCTTATTACATTTATACCGCTAATTGGCTCACTAGGAACGCTCATATTCGCTATTTTAAAACTTCCTTAGCCGGGAGTGCCCCCAAGGTAGACATTTA